TTCTAATATAAAAGTTTATGAAACACATATTACCTACTAATGAGTAGTTTGTTTTCTGTCATCTATTTATTCATATTGGATCGCTATTTAAGGTGAAGTGAAAATTAGGGATACAACAGGATTCGAACCAGCGACATCCAGGTTACTGGGTTGGTGCTGCGAGACCCGGCTGCCGATTGGGTCTTAGTTTCACTACGATCACCAGGGGTTTCACCCGACTGCAATGTGAATTCGGGATGTATTACTATTAAAAATTTATAGTTAGATATTAGGATTCGAACGGCAAGTAGGTGTCGTAGCTCAGTTGGTAATGTACCGAGCTACCAATCATGAGGTTGCATGTTCAGATACTGTCACGGCACATTCTTTCAAATTTTAATCATTATTCAAAGTCAATTTCACTTCACGGCCTTTCATCAACTGCAAACAACTTACTATTGAAAGGGAATATATTGGTGGTAATAATGAAATAAAATACTTCAAATGTGTAGAAATAAGTGGAGATTTGAAATCCAGGATTTACAGCTAGGTAGTGAGTCAAGGAAACACAGGATTCATAATCACAAATCTTGGTCAAAACCAATGACAACTTGTATCTGAGATAGAAAATTCTGAAGTTGTACATGGAAAGAGGGGTGGGGGGGCGGGGTGGGAGGGCAACAACAAGCAAACAGGAGTGTAAAAGAAGTGGATGTTAAGGAGCTTGTAGGTTACGTGATTACATGAAAGACTGAGAAAACGTTGGGTTAGGTGATTAGCAGTTGGTAAGCGAGGAAATATGTTTCATTCACATATTTGGTACTAAACTTGGTTGGATATCCATTCCTACTAAGTAAGCTATGAATAGTTTCAGATTCCACATAAATAGTGTCATCATAGCGTGTGAGTTTGCATAATAGATCCAGCTTATCAACGAATTCCGTACATACCTGAAGTCCACAGAACTAAAGAAGTGTGCTTACTACCTTAGATCATTCCATCTGATCGTCTCTTTGGTAGGACACCTGGAAATAAGAGACCCTTTTCACTCTCTCCATCTGTGCTTAAAGTATTTATCTAATTGAACAATATGATATTTAGTACAAAACTTCCTAACAATCTAGCACTGAAGAATTATTAACGTATAATCCATGTAATGGTTATTAAATTTCAGTTGATAACTATTTCAGAGACCACTTTGTAGCCTGTTGAGGAAAATGTCTACTGGGATCATATATGGTGATGATGCAATAGTTACACTGTCGGATTATTTCATAACTCGTTGTTGAAAGGTAAATATTCATTCAAAGCATACCTAAAAAGGAGTTTTTACATGGTGGAGACAGGTATTCCTGTCTTTGTAATACGCTTTGATGTATATAAAGTTTACATTGGTAAATAAAATTGCAATATCATACGACATCATTAATTTATTATTTACCTTAATGTCCATCCTAAAGAAGAACGGCAACCCACGAAACTTTATCACAAGATGCCTATCCCTTACATCATCAACTACAAAGTTATCTACAGAAATCAGTAAACGCATCATCCTACTATACATAAAGAATATATCAGAAATCACGACAAGATTACTGAAACCACTTGGAATTCGTGTGGCCACTCATTAACCAACAAATTCACTCCAAACACTATTATACAGACCAAAGGATACAACAACCAAAGAAGAGGAATCGAATACCATTTACAAAACCAACTGCAATAACTGTAGCCAACACTACATTGAACAAAGTGGTTGCCCTCTTCGCTTCGTCTACGTGAACACTAATTGGCCATTAAACGTCACGACATTTCATCACTCATTTCAATGCATTTGGATAATTATGGACTTGAATTCAACTTTGACAATGTGGAAATTTTGGACGGAGGGAGGAGACACAAAGAATATCATCATGGAATTCCTAGAAGCATGGTATTCAGGTCAGTCAGTCAGTCAGTCAGTCAGTCAGCAGTCAACAGATGTATAGACATAGACCCAATCTATCAATCAATAGGAAAAATGATAAACGTCAGAAAGGTCAGAGGTGAAGCAGAGGAACAGCCAACAGGAAAATCTATACAATCAATGACACAACAATCAGAGGAAACAACCAATCACAAACCACTTCGTCAAGGCAATCTACTAAATCACTTACGGAGAGATATTGACAGCTCACTCCATACTGAAGTTGGTACTGATAGTGTCGTCTAGAAAGACGATAGAAACTTCACGATTAAACAACCTATCTCAGAAAACACAACAAAACCAAGATTCCTCAATCTTTCCAACAATTTCGGAGGTATTTTTAATGCAAAATTTGAATGAACTAACCATATTACTGTTGTTCACATGATATACTAGAAAATGGTTGTTCTATACACTTTGGACAGACCATAAAGTTCAGGTGTAATGTGTCTTTTGGATCTGAGTGTTTCTTAAAAACCTTCTGAAATTAAATCCTACTGTTTCATCTTTCTAAGTGACTCTGTCAACTATCACTCTATCTTCTGAAATGCGTAGCTTCTAACTAATAAGATTTAAAATATACTCTCTTCACTTAACAAGGTAATTATTTTGTTCATGCAGTTTCTTTTCAGAATAAGTTTCTCTCTAAGTTGGATTTCTAGTTAATAAACGTTTCACGGTCATGCTAGACATCATCAGGAGTGTATCAGAGCTTCACAAGGAACAACTTATTCTGGACATTCACACTGAGCTGCAAATGTTCTCCATGATTCGTAGTTCCTTTTATTCATAAAGACTATTTCAGAACCTTAATGTTGCCTTGTTATCACTTAGCTGATGTCAGTTTTTAACTTACACAAGGGTTCCATATGTCCTTTTCTCATAATGTCTTGTATAATTTGTTCTGCCTACTCTAACGTAATTGTTGAGAATACAAATCGACCTGAGAAAAGCCTCGCTTAAATTGTCTTTTATTGTGGAATCAAATGCTGAACGACGCACTCCAACTTAATTTGTTCTACAACATTTTTAAAATCGAACTTCTGCACTTAGCTTACTCATTACTCTTCTGTATATTGATAACTAAACTGACATTCTGCCGAAAATTGGAACAGTGAGGAAAAACTAAGTAGGTAAGCCTAAAAACTGCAAAACAAGCATGCTACTCCAGTCAAATAACAATCAATAGACACACAGACATTGACCCAATATATAGACTACTAAAAAGAGATTCACCATTCAGAGATCAATAAAGCAAATCGATAATCAGCCATCTATGAAGGTCAGCCTCTGATGTGAAATAAGGAAAAGTCAACCCTACTCACAAATCAATAACATTCGAAGTTGGCAAATATCCTTCATAATCATTCATGCAATTTGGAAATGTTTCATTTCTTCATGAAATAAATGTTAATGAAATCTCCTAGTCTGGTGATGAAACATCCGAAAAGAAACCTCAAAGTTTAGAAAACGCCAAAACGTATTTTTCTCACCTTCAGCTACAAATCTCTACTATGATCCATACCAATTGACTGTAGTAGGGGCATTTATGAAGACTGAATAAGAAGAAAATATTTCTTCTGAAATGATGCAGAATAGCTCAGGAGGATAGTTTAGATGGTGTGGTGTTCTCTGAGGTAAATGAATCAATAGTGGAGCTTTCATTGTCACTCTAGACAACATCATCACTACAGAATTTTGTGCTGAAGATGTTGTCTAGAATGACAATGAAAGCCTCACGATTAAACCATCCAGCTTAAAGAACATAGCATACGCCGAAGAAAAAATATTTCTTTACCTATCTTTTGTCGGATTATTTCTCATTTTATTTTTATCATTTCTGTTGTCATTTTAATGATTTCAGAGTAGTTTTAATCACAACCTGAAATTAGATAGAGTGTTATTGAAAACAGGGGACCATAGAATAGCTGTTGCATTCTAATTTAAAGCTTCCCGACAACACACACCTATGACACTGCGATCAGTCTAGCAAACAATAGTGAGGTATGATACAGGATATTTTGTCTCCTCAGTCACTAGGTCGAAATCCATTACTCCATATCTTCCCGCTTTTTCAGTTCGTGATATTTTACGACCATCTCCTAGAGTTTGGCAGGAGTGGTCCTGCATCTCGTTTTAAACGCGATTAACTCTACAGGTCATAAATTATCACTAGAACTTTGGGGAGTTGGTAATCCACCCTGGAACAAAACTAAGACAAAGGCCAGTTTCCTGAATTTCAAGGTGATTTTTTAAATCTTGGATTTATATCAGTTGGTTGCAATAATTGGCCGTCCTGAGTACGATCTATCGCGAGGTCATGGGTCTGTGCTGTTCAAAAGTTCTCCACCCAATGTCAGTATTTGATGAAAACTACTTGAAAATCAACTAGTCATAGAAATCACCAGAAGAAACCTCCCTAATTTTCGTCTGGTGATAATTGGTAATTTGGCTGTCCTTCAAGTGATGATTATTCTTCCCAGTAGTTTCTTAGGCGCTGCAAAATATGCAAACAATTGACCGGAAACAGTAAGCTTAAGTTTTATGGTTGTTGGCACTCATCCTCAAGAAAACTGGTTTCCTTTTCTTGATTGGAAACTGCGTCGCATAGTGCTGAAATCAGTAACGTAACTAAACTGTTCAGGTCACGACTTGATTACGTACAACAGCTGGTCATCAGTCAGTAGTCCAAGTGATTGTCTGGTGAACAACAAGATTACAGTCAATATTCTCTTGTGTAGTCAAGTTACTGACTTCTCGAAACCTATTTTTGTTTAAAATAGCACTAAGCTACTTTTATATGATTTCAGTAGGCATCTGAATAAACCACATAAATTGCTTACGTCTAATCGGTTTAAAAGCCAATTGAAATGAATAGATTTTACACTTTAATTTTCTGAAATTAGTAGCACACTCAAACTATGCACTACACATGATGTATGATTTGTTCTTCGACCCAAATTTCTGATTACCTTTCAAGTTAGTTCTATAAACAAATATATAAGAGTAAATTTCAAAGTTGATACTTGTTTATTTTCCATTTCTTCAATTACAGGTTAATACCGTTACATATGCCGAATTACCTTTCAATTTACTTATTGTACATTGAAGTTACATATTGGAATACTACACATTCGGTTGTCACAAACAATTAATTGGCTCTATGGTCAATTAACTGATAGTGAAATATTCTCATGTGCATCATAGAGGTGTGCAATTTACATATTTAATAATTGATACAAAGAAAAACCGACATTGAGCATTTAACCGGGAATACAGTTCGTTCAGTTTAACGATTTGTATTTTAGTATATACATATATCATGTAACATTTCAGGTAACCGGCGTATATTTGCGACGTACAAAGTAAGACAATTCACTGTTATATGGATTAAATTTCTTCTAAATATGTATTCGAGAAATTAGTCATTTTGTGTTTTTGTAAACAAAGTGTCCGCAATCAGTGTTCAATAACCATTAAACACACAATGAAGATAAAATTAAAACTCGGTACCTAATTCTTATTGCTTATTACCAACTAAAAGTTTGTTTGAAAAATATTCTATTTTATAATTGTTTCAAGTTAAATTTAGCTGAACAATATCTCTAAGATCCAACAGACAATGGACAGTGATTTCGCCCATCTTCGGATTTCACCCACTACATACAACAAAAGACAATTTTAAGTTACTGTTCATCGTAGACTGACACCAGTTGGAGGAACAATGGCAACCTGGGAGCACTGGTCAGTTGTTTCGTCCTAGTACGGGACTCCTCAGCAGTGCACACCCACGACCCTGCCAGATAAGTTATTCAGATTACTTATTTCACCAATTTGAGATCTTTAAAAACATTGATTACAAGAAGATAGGAGTTAGTTGGCCTTACATCCTACCTCACGTGGATTTTCAACCTGTTGGTAGGCATCGGTAAGACATGTCTATGATGTTTAGGGAAATTCATATTTCAAGCTAGTAAACCTCATGAAATGACTACAGATGGATAAATATTAAAAATGTAGGAGGACTGTGCAGCTGTGTCGTTCTACTGTGGGGTACTTCAGCAGTGAACATCCACGGACGCACCAAACGTCGAATCCAGGACGTTCAGATTCTGTGACCAGCACATTGCTATTGAGCTACTTGTTAGGAATCATGCGGTTCATATTTTAATAATTCTGTCAATCTGCGATATAGCGTGGCTTTTATCCAATGGCATCTTTGGGTACCTGTCTTAATGTAGAATATGGTTTACCCTGCTGATCACGACCTCTCATTAAAACTTCGGCAATTTCATCTTGAAGCGAATTCATGCAAACGTTTGTATTGTAATACTTTACAGTGCTTACTAGCTAATTAACAATTTAGAATTAATAGCTGAGCAGATTACCAATCGATAAACGATCTGTATTTATAAAAAACCAACTTGATTTTTAGATTTTTCAAGGTTACTTTGGATGACAATGCGATTTATTTGTGAAAGGGTGAATTTAACTACTTAAGCAGATAACTCGGGGAACATTGAATCACTTGACCTCTTATTCAAACAATGAGTGAGCAAGTTTATGAACTGAGTGGAAGATAAGCTATAGCTGATAGTTGAGACAAGTTAGCTGGTTCCACGAAGTACCAAGTAGGTAATCATAAAAATACTGCTACTAATAATGCCCAATTTAAACTTCCTTTCAATCATAATCAACATTTGTACAAATACAGATACCTACTTATGACTTAATACTCAAATAATCAGTTCTAATTGAAACTCTAGTTATAAGTAAGGATATTTTGAAACTATCAGAAATGATGCATCAAAACATGTATTCATTCAAAAAGTTTACTTTGAATTTCTTTGAAAAGTAGATAAGATTAGAAATACTCTTCGTCGAGTTTGGAAAGAATTGAAGATACACCTTTTAGGCAACAAATTATTGATTGATATTCATCATTAACTTGTCTTATTATCAGTTAAACTTAATAAACATATTCTATCCAAAGAATATCTTTAAAACGAGCAGAATTACCGATTAAAACTGATATATACTGATAACCAGCGGATTCATTTAACATAAATGTACACCAACTGATGATTTGTAGTAATTAATTGATTTCAGAATGATTATAATCTTGACCTCAATGAACAGCTGTTTCATCCTGGCTTTTAATACTTGAGCGATAGTGAGGGATCCAGCCGAGATAGGCATGTTGAGATGAAATTTGAATGCAAAACATGATTTTTGTTAATCTAACCAATATGTAACTGCATAAGATGAGTTTGATGTGGTGGTATAAAGACTAACTGTCATGACTTAGTAGTCCACGTTTAAAGCAGTGGGTGTTTCACTTGAGTCTTTATGGGAACCATATCATTCACCGGAAAGCAGGTACATCCAATTGAAGAGTCTCAAGTAGGTTGAAATGTATGTACCGGGTTTCTTGAATAGCCACTATTCATCATAATTATAAAATTGAAATTATTGACAGTATTAAGACATTAGAACAAGAAAGAGCCCATGTATCAATGAAAGTCCAATCACCAATGAGGAACTATATGACGTAATCACAACTGAATTGTTCTGAAATAAATACACTCTCTTTTTCTAAATTTGTTAAAAAGAATCTCATGAAATTGAAAATGAATCTGTGAAGAATTAAACATCTTTAGTTGCATAATCATGAACATAAACTCTATGAAATGGAAATAAACAGTTAAATACAGTCGGCTGTTGAAAACAAATTCAATAGTTTTACCAAGTGAAGTATGAATACGAGGTTACTGAAATATCGGAGACTATTGAATATAGATTTATATAATAAAATAGTGAAATTATTCAGAATAATATGAAACCAGATTTATGCATGATATACTTTGAAGTGATCAAACATCTGGAACATAAAAAATAGTCTACTTTGCTTGAATCTTGAGACTACCGTATTTACAGTGATAACTTGTTGTGCAAATATGTTACATTCAACTCTCTTAATTTTTTTCATATTTAACGATAACTTACAGCAGGCAACTGGGTTTGATGAACAATTTAATGATGAGAAATTATAAAGAACAACACATGAACTATATCCATTGCTCAAGTAGTGGTTATCATGCCTAATTGACATGATAACTTCTTACAGAAGATGATGATGATGACTTCTTACAGATTTTCTCTCATCTTTATAGAACAAAGCCTGGACATGCCCTCACATAAGCGTGTCTGACATTACTGGTCATTATGCTTTCAAATAGTGTATGGAAGAAGTAATTTTGAGGGTATTTTAAATAGTCTCTCCATCTACTGTGAAGCTTTTTAATATTTGTTTGGACGTAATAATGACCGCTAGTGTCACTGACGCCACGTGGCAATATGCTGGATACTGTAAGTACGTAGAAAGCATTCTCTGGCTACTTCCAATGTATCTTGCTGCACAAGAGCAAATGAACTGATAGATAAACACGGTGACAGCTAGACCAAGGAGATTATCTTACACACGAATGGAGAGTAGTTTACAGCTGATAAAAGTCAATTGCAGTCTTGTTTACAAGAATATTCTATTGATTAATTCACATCGACGATTTTTGAATATATCTGATGTCTGATCACTTTTAAATGAAATGTCCATGATCAGTGATTTCTTTGAAACCAAGTGAGTGACCGGTTTGTCAATGAAATGGTAGACGTAACCGTTTTCGATCAGTGTGTTTTTTGAAAACGGTAGGTCTGCGTCAATACAATCTTCAGTACAGATATTTCTTATTCTGTAGAAGAGCAAGAGAGAGAAAGAAAACATTTTTTTTCAACAAAGCAATAAGAAGACGTAAATTGTCTCAACCGTGTAACACATTTGTGCAACACCTTTAGAACTATCTGATCACACATACTTGTCACACGCATTTATTTGAAAATTCATGGAGATAAGGAGTAAGAAAATGATAAGAGGTGAAATAGGAAGGCTCAATTAAAGGACAAATAACAATGAAGATAATTAGAGCGGAAATAGTATAAAGAACTTGGTTTCAATAGGTGAAATCATCAAGGGAGGTTTAATGTGATAACAAATTGTTTATGAACACACAGAAATCTACATGGATAGACGAATATTAGGACTATTATAGTTTTTATTCACTGCAGTACAAACGAGTGTTAGTTAGGTGCTTATTTAGTAGAATTCAAAAAGCGTGGACAGGGGATACTTTGGGAGATGAAGGAGGAGTATTGACTGAAATACTATTGGAAACTAACTATCTATCAACATTTATTAGGCAGCGCAAAATAATCAGAGCAGGAAAACCACATCTTCAGTTTGTCTCAAAGAAAGATGCCTTTATCAGTCTTCCGTACAATGGTGACTGTCACATTGCAATCCTTAAACAGAGAATTAACGCTGCTGTTAAAATAACTTACTTTGCAGCCAGGGACCGATGAGGAGAAACCACCAAACCAGTGTATTCTCCTAAACCCCTACAGTATGTGAACGACAATGTTAAATCCCATAGCACCTACCAATTCAAATGGACGTGTGGTGACAAGTACACAGGGAGGACTCATAGATCCATGTAAGTAGGGGTCTCGGAACATATTCCAAAGAGGCTTCAGAAGAAAATCTAAACCACTCGAACCCATATTTGTTGGTTGCGGATGTCCAACTTCTTCGATCGCAAAACATATCGTGGAGACAAGTCACTGGATTCACGTGGCTACTTTCTTTACACCTATTTACAAAACGTGTTAGTGACGAATCCTCAAATTCGTTGAGGCCGCATATATTAGGAAGTTGAAACCACCTTTGTGTGTTCATAAACAACTTGTTACCACATTAAATCTTCTTTGGCAAATTCAATTATGAAAACCAAGTTCGATGTACTATTATTTTCGTCCTATTCATTCTCATTGCTGTGTGGTCTTTAATTTAGCTACCTATTTGACCTCTTTTCATTTTCTCACTCCTTATCTTCATGAGATTTTTTTTAAATACGTATGACAAGTATGCGTACTATCAGAGTTCTAAATGTTTTGCGCAAACATATTACACGGCTGAGACAATTTACGTCTTATTTTGTCAAAGTTTATAAAGGGAAGTGATTGTTTCAGAGATTTCTTTTCCCACTGACTGGCACCAAACTATAAAAACTAGTCAGTTGTTCGTTCCACTTTGCTCTTCTGTATATAGACCTTCTAAGGAATACATCTTTACTTCTAGTGACAAGTACATCAAGAAAAGGAATAGTTGATTCTGATTCATTCTGTGTGGTGAACATCGAAGCCGGATAACAGTAATTGAACTAACGAAGAATATCGTTCAGATCAACATCTTTATTAAGGATAATAAAAGATTTATCCACATATCTTCTATAAAAGCTGAGGTGACTAACAGTTCGACTAAGTTTAGTATTCTCAAGTTTCGTCATGAAAACATCTGCTAACAATGACCCCATCTTTCTCTCTATTGCACATTGAATGTGTACCTCAACAAAGGCTCTTTTAGATATTTGGTTTACAGTCCAACGTCTAAATTACATGCATCAGTGTAATCACATATATAACAGAATATTATAAATTTCTATATTTA